ATTTTTATTAATAATCAGCTAACCAAAACTGAACAGATTTTCTTTAGGGCATCTGTCATCCTAATTTTAGCATAAATGTATAAATAAACCTGTTTCAATAACTGTAATATTTTACATTATGCATGAATTGGAATGAACTCAAAAATGCGTACTGAAAATCTGCAGAAAACAAAAGGTAAGTTTCCTATGAATAACAGTGTGTGAAAATGATGATCACAATTTATTTCAAATCCCACCATTTAAACTCCAGCCAACAACTTCATCGGAGACACCACCTTCCGTTTATCATTTGTGTTTTTTTAAAGAAGATTACAGACAAATGGCCGCTAAAATTTTGTAAAAACGAGGGAGCGTGAAACTGGTTCTCGCTCCTCAAATAATAGTTCATACCCGACTATCATCGCCTTCGCTCTCTTCTATTTCAGTGGCAAAAGTAAGTCTGCTGGTTCCCTGCTGGTTGCGTCAAAGACAAATTTGTGTTTGTAAACAAATTATTAATTATTATATTTTTTTATTTCGTGGGATTATTAAATTATTATAGATTAATAAATAAATATGACCAAACGCATCCAGATGTATAAGCTTCGTTGATCAACGATAATATATTAGATTCAACAACGGGGTTTTGTTTCCTCGAGTCACGTGATAATATAGAAGGAAAGCTTATTTTTAGAATAACACATAAATAAGTCAACATTTTATTTTACGATATACATAATTTATTTCTACTCATTTTAATGACATGATATTGAAATACATGTACAGGGATTGCTCATACTAGAATGTTGTATATTTTCAAAAAAATATGTGATAATTAATAAAGTCGTTTCCATGTTCCTTATATGACTATATTTATTTAATGTGGAAAAATCAACAAAGAACAAGAACTGGAAGTTGTCGAAGCACGGGTACGCCTACGATTGGCGACGATACCGTGACATCGATTTTTAATTTAAATCAATTGTTTACAAGTATTTCCACACACGAACATAGTCGACCTGCAACGCAGCGTACTCCCCGTTGTTTTCATCTGCACGCCATGTTGGATACCAACAGTCCTTAGCTGACCAGAATTCCTTTGGGGCGTAATTCGACGAATCACTCCATGGTTTGCCGCACGGGGAGTTAACATATGAATCGTCCCAGTATCCGGTTGTACCCCCAACAGCAACGTTCATAATTATGTAAAACTGAAAAAAAAAATGAGATTGAATAAGATAGTGATGTTATTTCGCATCGGTCTGTATTGAATACTTTCTTTATACGTGTAGGTGTTAGTCAAGATCCAGTTACATAGAATAGCAATTCGTGTCACGCCCCCTGTTACATCAATGTAATGTCCAGTATACTAGTACATGTACACATTTGCATTCATGTAATTGTTATTTGTGAAGTGCGTCCTCACAGGCAATATGTAAGATGTGTTTACATGTCATGCAGTGAATAAATGAAGCTAAAATTTGTGTTCCCACCATTGTATTAATTTCTGTCTCACGATCTTACAATCAACATTCACAATAAATAGTTTGCAATGAATGTAAAAGGAGATTAAGCTTGCTACCAACCTCTTGATCGAAAGGCGCCATCTTGTCTCCTTCTAACCATGGATTATCCGATTCCGGCAAACTTTCTTCAAACTCCCCGTATTCCCAGAAACCTCCTTCGCCTGGGTCTACATGAAGGATTTCTTCATCATCCAGGAAAAACCTGAAAAAAAGAACGTCCGCACAAATGTGATGTAATGAATACATTTTGTTTAGCTAAAGGGACGGGAATTGCTCATTCTGGGAATAGTGGGTGCAAGATTGATTATGCAAACACTCAATATATTTAGCATGATGGGTAAGTTTTTGTAGATGAAGTTACCGAATATATATTTATATGTCTATACAACCAATGTGCTGTATTACTTACTTGACGTATTCTTCAGTCCATTCTAAGGCAAATACGTGGAAATCCGTACCAAACGTGCCCGTGTCTGCGTATCTACATAGTTTACATACAAATAAAAGAAAAAGAAAGTAGTCGGCTATTATAACAGTTGATTAACGGCGGATATCGATGTACGCATTTAAAGGGTGACAGTTGTCGCACCACGCACGCGCGAGATATACGGGTCTCATATACTAGTAAACAAATATGGCGACTTTGACTGTTGTGTGGATCAACGAGTACAAACTGAGATGTTACCAAGCTTTAATTAGGTATTTTTAAGTGATTGGAAAGTATGGAATGAGTCATCGGCGGTAATTAGTGCAAGTCGCGCCCAGGTCAAACCTCATACTTGTGATTTTCATTAGAAGAGCGCATTGGATTATGGGAAAATCAATGTTTATCAACACAACACTTTAACACTAGGGGGAATGGATCATTAGAAAATCGAGGGGTAGTAATAAATACTACGCCGATTGTTGTACGTACCGAAAAAGACCATGTGAAACATGCATATTAGATTGTGCTGTTGTTACATCGACTGGATATTATGTGCTGCAAAACGTGACATATCATATACAATACAGTGTTTACGAATTCACAAAATCAAGACTTATGGTAAAATTATTCGGATCCTTAAATGTTGGATGTCTGGTTATAGATTGCCCTATGAGAGGGTCGACAAGGGGTATTATCGAAAGCTGTAATCAATTGTTTTTATTTTCGTAATAATGTAGTTTAAATAAATAAAAAAAACGTAAATTCGTAGACATGTACAACGTGTAAAATGTAAGCAGCTATTTTATTCGTTCATAATTTGTATAAAGATCTTATTTTTTGTATATAAGCGTATAAAGCATTTTCCAAATTAAATGTCGTAATACGTATTTTCAATTTTGATTCTTAAACACAAATTATCAAGTATATTATAAAAATGTAATTAGGAATTTGCTTTTTCCTGTAAAAATGTAAAATGTATTTTTTATTTCCTGTAACCTGTACCAGCTATCCCCCTTGCCCCTATGCATCCTTGAATTTATGAGCTAGGTATTATATCCAAACCAAATTAAAATGGACTTGTCTTGGTAAAATTAAGTATATATATGCGTAAATACCTTGTGGCATGTGTCATGTGTGCGCCATTGATTGGCCAGTATGGACCCCAGTGCATTGTAGAACCCATCTGGTCCACTCCGATAGAATTGCCGGCGCTATCTTTGTAGTTTTCGTTTCCACGTGACTCGACGATGTCCATTTCTCCAGATGCTGGCCAACCACCATATGGATTTCTGGCGGGTAGCATCCATATAGCTATAACATAATGTATGAGAGAACTATGTAAAGTGCCCATATAAAGGAATCCGTATCCATAGTAACCGTCTCCGTATAATGAAACAACCATTTTTGAATACTGTAAAGGGGGTAATTATTCACTGGGTTTTAATTTAGCTTATTTCGCTGACTGGAAAATGCGCTAAATTAAAACCCAGTGATTATGTAAAATTTAGCATAGAACACATCATCTAAATGACGAAACCGTGAATTTAAAACCCACTGAATATGCGTGAAATGGTAAATCAGTGAAATTTAAACCCAGTGAAAATTAGTCATTTTACAGTAATCGCGCTCATAAAAAAAGGTATAACTGAGTTCATACACACGTGTTCATGTACGCTGAATAACCATGCCGATACGGAGAAATAAACATATACATAATTTGCTAAATCAATATTCATATAAGGAAACAATTGTGCTCATACAATGGTTTGTATCTTATACAGAGGTATTTGGTATACATGCACACTTGTATAAACAGTGTCTGCGAATATTTACCCACAAATAAATAAATCACCATATATAATAGATATAATAATTACTATTATTATATTATACATGGCATGATATGACGTCACATTACATTACCTGGCCATAGCCAATCACCTGTGGGCATCTTAGCGCGCACCTCAACTCGTCCATATTTCAAATTCATACTAAACACGGATCTGAGTCGAGCTGATTGGATAGGATTAATGTACTCATTTGCATTTCCGATTCGTTCACATCCATACCAAGCATTGCCGGTGCAGAGATCAGCCGGTGATGCCCCTGAACATGAATAAAAAAACGGGTTACTAGTGTTATCGGGGTTTCTATCAGGGGGAAATCTTCTTTCTCTCGGGGGTCTCCACACTTGTCAGGGGGAAAACTCGTCTCGTCTCTCTATCTCGTCCCCTTGAGGTACGGGATCGGGAAAGTCACTTTAACTTTACAGTCAAATAAGGCACACACAACGAAATACGTTTCAGCTCTCGTCTTAGTCGATCTTTCGAGCACTCTATAAGACACAGCGCCCTGGGGAAAAAATCCCCAAGACTCTCGCAAGGCTGACCCAAGACACGCCCAAGACTGGACTGCGTCAAGGCTCGCCCCTGGACTCTCTCGGACTCCGTCTGGACTCGACTGCCCAAGGCTGCGTCTGTCGTGGAGTATTCGCCAAGACCAACTCAAACTCTCTTTATTCATTTTCAAAACTCTAACCAATTACAAAGCAGTAAAAAGACTCTAGGGCGTAAACTTCAATCATTAAGCCAATCACACTAAGTACTGAATACGTCATATCTTTTGATTAATCGTTCACTACATTAATAACTACGGATGTCAGAATAGCGACGGTATCTTGTAATTAGTTCCAAACCACTGAGCCAAGTTCCGTCCAAAACTTCAAATAGACCTAAACGATGACAGACATAACACAGCAATTCAGCTAATAATCAGCTAATTAAGTCGGTCAACAGATACGCAAAAACAAATTCATGACACATCCCTTCACCCAAACTGAGATATGCCTCTCGGCATTGCACGTTCATAAATCAAAGATACCGTCCTCTACTCATCGTCATACGGGTTAAATACAATACTAATAAAAGGTATAAATCAAAAAGAGTAAAACACACTAATTAAGTACAATGATTATAAAGTCTAAATACAATGGTTATAAAGTCTCAAATATCAACGGTTATAAATCAAAAACAAGGGAAAGGCTACAAATAGGCCCGCTTTTCTCAAACAGTTCGCCGAGGTAACCCTTCGCTGCACTGTCTCCATTACTAAGGTTACAAACTCTATATCAAAAGGTC